CCATTCTGTGATTCTGTGATTTATGGCACTTCGGCAATTACTCCGCCCCAAAACACTCTGTGCTGGTGCAGGATGAGCCCCCAGCAAGACGCTCACAAGGACAGGTCTCAACTGTATCCCCTTTCTCCTCCCCTTCCCAAACTTGCCAACCTGGAATGTTGAAAAGCAGCTGTCCCTAACCCCAGCCCTGCTGATCCCACATCACAAGGCACAAATCACAAGATTATTATTATTATTTTATTTATTTCTCGTCTCACGTGCTTCCCTTCCCATTTGGAGAGGGCTTTGATGTCTTCCCAAGCTTTTCCCAGCAGACACAAAGGCAAAACTGCTGCTTTCTTGCTAAAGGAGTGGGGTTTTTTGCACCGTCGCTCGTCTCTGGGCGGTGGTACAGCAGCACTCAAACATCGATAGCATGGCGGGGTGAAGGGCTTCATCACAGTCCTGCTACTCTGGGGCACCAGGGCCCGACTCTGACCACACCGTACAGCCAGTAAACACCGTTGCTTTAAACAGCTTTAAACCTGGCTTAATCCCCTTCACGCCCGGCCTCGGCACGTGAGAAGGATCCGTTAAATCACACACCCCATTGCACCAGGAGCCGGCTGCCTCCTAAAGGGCCGTGTCCATGAGCCTCTTCCGGGCGCCTTCGTTCAAACACGGCGATGGGGCTGGGTTGGCCGGATTTCCCCTCGCCTAAACGCAGCCAGTGCCCGTCCGGCGGCCGGCAGGGCTTTACCGAACCTGCCCGGCGCTGCCTGGACAAGCCCTTGCGCAGCCCCATCCCGGGGAGGTGTTGCTGCCTCTGCTGCCGTAACCCCTGGGGCTGCCGAGTCCCACATGGAGCGTCGCGAGCCCGGTGAAGCTTTAGGAGCCCAACTCGGTGCCAAAGCTGCCGTGGGAAAGGGGAAAAGCATCCCCGGGGGGGCTCGTCGCCCTTGACCCAGTGGGTCTGGGGGATGCAGGGGAAGGTTGGTGCTCTTCCGACGGTGGACAAGGCTACCGGACGCTGGTGGGTATCCAGCAACCGCGGGTGTTGGTGGTAGAAGCTGTTGGGTCTTGCCTTCTGGTGCAGCCCGGTTTTTGGGGTTCTCTTGCACATGGCAGCCCCTGGAGCCCCTCTTCACTGTGCTGGGAGAAGGGGGTTACCCCTAAAAGTGCTGCCAGGGATCAGGGCTGGCTTTTACTCGCTGTGCTGGAAGGAGGTGAGCTCCAGGTGGGTAAGGTCCAAGGCAAGCCGGCTGGAAATGGGAACGGTGTCTTCCTGGGCTGTAATCCTTTGGCTTTTCCTTAGAGAAGGATGTACTACAGGCATTTTACAGCAGAAAATAAGGCACTGGGGTGAATCCGGTGGACTGGGGGGGAAGGGAGTTCCTGGCCGATGGGCCAGCAGGCGTTAGTCCTGCTTCTTGGCGTTGGCGGCCTCCGTGCGCTTCTTCAGCCGCATCACGTCGGCGTAGAGGTTGCGCTTGAGGACAGCGCTGACGCAGATGAGGGCTCCTTGCAGGGCTCCCGTGAAGCCGCACACACACACATCCTGCCCTGGAAGAGAGAGGGAGGTGGCGATGGCAGTGCCCGTGGGGGGGACCCGTGGGCAGCCCACGCTCTGCCTCCAGCTCACCCTCAGTGCTCCCCCCCCCATCATCCACCTTCGAGCCGCCCCCACACCAGCCCTTGGGTTTGAACCCACAGATCCCTCCCCACTTGGCCCCTTCCTTCTCCCCAGCAAGCACAGGGCCTCATCCTGCCCAGCTAAAATAAATCTGCCCTGGGCAAGGAGAAAACATCCAGGAGCTGGAGGAGGCACAGCCCTTTCCTCCTGCCATCGGGACCATCCACTCCGACCCGCTCCAGCAGCTCTCGCATCGCCCCGTGGCACAGCAGCCGCTTCCCCCCTTATTTCGTCGAAGGCTTTTCTCCCCCCATATCCTGCTTCCCCGACGGTGTCCTCATCCGAGACCGCGGTGTTTAGGTGGTGGTGGCAGTACCTGTCAGGTAGAGGTTGGGGACAGCCGTCTGTGCCCGCAGGGTGGCAATGGCTTCGGCTCGCAGGCGGGTGATGTTGTGGTCGCTGCCATAGATCTCACCTCTGGGGCTGGCGAGGTAGTGCTGGTTGGTGAGGGGTGTCCCTCCGGAGATGTACTCGATCTGGGGGCGGGACAAAGGGACAACGTGGTCTGCATGGGGTAGGCGTGATGGTGTGGGGTGTCTCATTGTGCTCCAGAAGGGTGTTTCTGTGGGGAGTGGGCTGGGACGCTTTTCCGTGCAGACCTTGGCTGGTGGCTGTGGCCAATTTGAACCCAGGATGGTCCCAGGGGATCATCGTGCCCCCTTCCACCTTGTGTGCCCAAGGCAGCAGCAACAGGTTGGTGCTGGGCTTCGTGTCCAGCAGGCCCAGACACCGATCCTACGTTTGGCAGGATGGGGCGGGGTAGCCAGGACCCCGGAGAGGAGCTGGAGGACCCACGAACCCCAGGTGTGCTCACCCTGTCCTCGATGCCAGGGTAGAGCTTGTAGACAACCTGCATGGCGGTGTCCACAAAGGTCTTCTTCAGCTCCTCGTAATCATCTCCCCGCTTACTGACCGGCTTGTCCTTCCCCTCCTCAAACCACTCGTATTTGGCGAAGGTCACGATGGCCAGTGTGGATTTACCTGCGGCAGGACGAGGCTGCGGCAGTCATCCCTTTGCCCACCCTCGTGGCACCATTTTGCTGCCACAAACCCAACACCCGGGATGTCCCCAGGTCTTTGTGGCCCCACACCCCGATGCCGTTATCCTGAAGACCCCTTTCCATAAGCAACCTGCTCAGCAGCTCTGACCATGGCTGTTTTAGGAGAAACCCCTGGCCTGCAGCCATTGAACAAGGCAAACCCAAGAAGAGTTCTCAAGGCCCTGCCGAGGGCGCGTGGTTGGGCTTCAGCCCCTACCTGGGTGCCTCATTTCCCAGGTGGGATCCTTGGTTGACGGGCAGGTGATAAACAGGAGAGGGACGTTCTTGGCAGCTTCCTCTCTGGGAGAAGCCATGTAGCGATGCATTCTGCAGAGAGACACGGGGGTTTGGGGTGGGTTTTGATGCAAACCTTTCCACGAATATTCGCTACGTCTGAATCCCCATGCAGTGAGAATCTGCCAAGGACGTTTTCTGAGTCACGGCCCAGGAATTCATCTCCTTCTGCTTAACGAAGCGCATCTAAGGTGAAGCCAAACCTACATGTCATCCAGGTCACTTCCTCTGTACACGTAGTAGTTGGTGGGCT